TAGGAAATTATAATGTTTAACAAATCACAAACATTACCTGCAAGTAATTTTAATCATAATAACATCACATTAAAAAGGTACATATGCTTATTCACTAAAATTAATGAGGCAATTTGTGAACAAGAGACAGATTCTCTCTTCTTTTTAAATTCTTTAATGTTGAACTGCAGATACCCTGATACTACAATAAAAATGTTTTGAAAACAAATTTCTTTGTAAAATCACTGAAGTAAATAAATGCCTTGGCAGATTATAATACTATCCAATGATATCTACTTAAAATTTTATGTTCATCTTACATTTTCCTTACCATAATATTCACATTTTAATTATGTATTTAATCTGTTTGGATGCAAGAACACAAACTAACCTATTTCTTACAACATTAAGCATATTTCCTTTGAAGCCAAGATAATTTTGTTATTTTATAAAAGCAATAGAGACTCATTTTTCAAGATGCTTAAGGCAAAATGCTTAAGGCTCATGCTTACTGCTTTGCCTGGCCTTCTGCTTGCTTTGAACCAGGTGGTGCCATCAAGCCTAAAAATGCATACACTGCATCCTTTTCTCAGGTTCTAAAGAAGGTATCATTTAGACCCCACAGTACGGGCTTTCACTGAGAATCTGAAGTGGTGGGGGATACCCTGTAGCTGGTTGACTATTTTTAGGTACATTTTTCCTCATCCACTTTGGAAACTCTTCACTGCTGCAGTATCTTTTTCTTCAGATAATTAATATATATATATATATATGGCTTGTAATAAACCAAATGCATCTTGCTGTTTTTTTCTTAATTGCCATAGAGTCAGAGGAAGATGCAACATGTACAACAATCACCATCCTGGGAAAAGCATCTGGTGGTTGTTTGGGTCTTGAAAATAGCTGTAGAGCCTGAGTCACAGTTTTGAAACAATGTTCATGGGTCTTTCTCTTGTTTATTAACCCTTAAGCCACATTGATTCAACCAGACTTTTTTTTTTACTTCTTAGGACATGTGAAATTAAACATTACATAAAAGAAGTACCCAATATAAAGGTGTGTTAGGTAGCAATTTATTCAGGCCAACAGCTAAATTCTTTTAGGGCATGTAATTTGTTTTCTTTTGTATGCTGGAATGAATAGGAATTAACTAGAAACTTCATGTTAGAAACTGAATGAATGATCTGAATATTTCTGTTAAGATTTTCAGGAACAGTTTTGGGTATGTTTCTCAATTTCCTCTTTCGTTTTTCCCACGTCTTTGAATCACTGGAAACTTTAGATCTTTGTGTATTAGCATTGGACATTTTTTAGTCATATCAGATTGTGGAGCTGTTATTATCTTATTATCTGAGCCTTGGCCTCTTTGAATGAAAACAGGTCTCTGGATATCATTTTCAGGGAGACAGAGACATACAAAAGGTTCTAGAAACTTCTGAACACACAGAGACTCACATAATGATACAAGAAAGGCAAGCTCAAGGTGGAGGTGAGTATTTTGTTTCTCCAGATAGCAAGTTAGAAATGTATGAGATGATAAGAGTCATCTGGAAAGAAGGGGTAGAAAATGGACAGATTTAAGCAACAGAGATTGTTCCAAGGCAGTAGAATTGGGAATCTGAAGGAAAGAATAATGTCTCTGAGTCAGAAGCACTTATAAGAATAAGTAATCAAACATGAACATAGAAGACAACATTAATCATTCAAGAAAGACAGGTGATCAGTAGAAGAATATAATAA